TTTCTCTCGGTCGCTATGCCTCTATGTCTGTCTCTTTGTCTGTCTGCCTGTCTTCTCTGTCTCTCTCTCTCTCTTTTCTCTCTCTCCCTATCTCTCTCCCCCTCTCTCTCTCCCTCTTTCCCTCTCTCTCTCTCTCTTCCCCTCCCTCCCTCTCCCTTGCTCACCCAACTGCGAGCCCGCGTCGAAAGCCCTCCCGCTCGTGATCCGGTATCGGGAACTTGAGCATGACGAGGAAGGACATCATGCGGGTGGTGCTCGCGTCGCCGGGCTCGTCCTGCTCCGGCATCTGCTGCGGGTCGATCGCCGTGAAGATCTCGTTCAGCTGCTGGAGAAGGTCCGTCGGCGATTTCTCGTCGAAAGTCACCTGTGGTCATCGTCGGCATCGCCACCATCGTCGCAGGTGGTGGTGTTGTTTCGTTGGGTGTTGATGGTGGTAACTTTCCCTGGCACCCTTCTACGGCACTCCAAACTAAGTCTACGGTCCTAATCTTTTCAGCAGAGTACGTACGTAGACATTGTGCTAGCGACACCTCTCCGGCAGGCAAACGTCGTGGTGGATATATCATCATTATTAATCCATACAGTACCGTATGTTGGAATGTCATCGTACGTCGGTCCACTAGAAAACAGTCAAGGGATTTTTCCAACACCATAAAATTTCTGAGTGTCTTACCTGAATTTTGTTGAAGGTGTGCATGTGATTCTAGTGCATCGACTGCTCGATTCACACAGCCTCCCACTGCCGTACAGCAGCAGTCATGCGCCCTTGTACCTTTGTGTCATTGCAGGTCACGGCTGAAATCCCCAGATCAAAGCTTGCCGTATAAGCAACCATGTGGTGTGCACATCACTAACAATATTGGCGTCCGGGGTACAGCCAACCCGGACTGCCGCGATACACGCTGATGTGTGATACACACAGCCTCCATTGCTGCGCGGCAAGCAGGCATTGCGCCCTTCTACCTACGTACCACACTGCAGGTCACGGTGACACATCGACTGTGACAACAGAACTCGTCGACGTGCGCGGCCGCAAGACAAGTGTATGCACTGCTTCTGCCCCACGCAAATCGGCGTCATCAGGGACACACCGACTACGCCGCGATACACACTGCATCACACTGCCGTGTGATCCGTGTGATGCACACAGCCTCCCACTGCTGCTGTGCAGCAAAGCAAGGCGTGCACCTGCAGGTCACGGTGAGACACATCGACCTTAACAACAGAACTCGTCGACCTCATGACATGAACGACCGCATTACATGCAAGGGTGCTGAAGATAAATCAATCAGATTTCGGTGAGCAGACCACAACAAGGGTAAAACGTTACAGCAGTGGTATGACGATCGGTCGGACGTGCTGTCAGCATGGACGTATTGATGTCACAGGGGTGGAATAGAAGTGATGCACAGGTTGTTTGCGATGCACGTGAAGGTAGGCGATATATTTGTTGCGCATCACATCGATATACTTCGTGTATGCTGGCGCAGCACGCACAGAAAATGTTCCGGTTCCAAATTCAGCCATGCACTGCAGTGTCACAAAAATGGCGCGTATCTGCTGTACAGCAGTGAGAGACTGTGCGTATCGCGCAATCGGTGTCTTATAGCTTAACCCCTAATGTCGATTTTCAGCACAGAACAGGGCATCACAGTAGGTATGATAATTAAAATGTATCGCGCAGCTGTTCATGCTTTGGGGCTCAAATCTCGATTATCTTTTTTGCACATCGCTATGCTCGTGCTGCACGCACAGGCAAAGCTTCCTCCCAGAAATTCTGACATGACCTGCAGTGTCACACACACGTCGAAGGGTGGACAACTGCTATATAGCAGTGGGAGGCTGTGTGTGTCGCGCAGTCTGTGTTATGCCTGCACGCCAGACGTCGTTTTCTTTGTGTATGTTTATTTTGAAAAACACGGAGAGATAGTGTAGAAAATTCCCTTCACTACAGTATGTTCAAGTTAAGAGCGGAAGATCACATTCCTACAAATGAATCAATGAGGCTGTTTCACCAACATCCCTATTGAAAAATCTGTAGCAACAAAACTTGAAGAGGTTCCTTTTGAACACCAACTTCCATGTCCACGGACAATATGCTTCCGAACGCAGGTTTATGTCGTCAATGGACCGCAGTCAGTCGTGGAGTTCCAGGTGAAAAATGTTGCGACAAGTACGTTGGTACGTGGTTATCCGCGAAGAAAGCCCAGATGTCAGGTTTCTCGAACCGCACACTCTGCGGTTTTCCGTCTCGGCCATGCACAATATGCTTCCGCCTTACAAACAGTCGATACGTTCCTCCATTAACCTGTCGGTTGATTTCTGTGTACAATGCCTACCCGCCGCTTTCGCCGTGCGATTCGGGTACGATACGGCTGGGAATCAATTGTGATCAAAGGTGAAATGCCGCAGCGCAGGCGGATACTCGAAAAGCGTAGCCACGCCGCAGGTTTCAGCAGCAAGGTCAACAAGGCATTGGTGGCCAGAGGTCAGGTTGAGTGGAGGTTGCACGCCGAAGCGAGCAGCTACTCCCGCAAGGTGGTGTCGATCAGAAACTCAGCGTGAAATTTCTTGTTCGACTCGTCCATGTTGGGGAACTCTTCACAGTCGCAGAGAAACAGTTCCTCGAGGGCCGGGAAATGGGAAAAGGTGTCCGGAGTAGTGTGGGGTGAAAAAGTAAGGTAAATGAAGTGGCATACGATGATCGAATGTCGTGACATTTACCTTACTTTTTCACCCCACACTACTCCGGACACCTTTTCCCATTTCCCGGCCCTCGAGGAACTGTTTCTCTGCGACTGTGAAGAGTTCCCCAACATGGACGAGTCTAACAAGAAGTTTCACTTTGGGTTTCTGATCGACACCATATTACTTACAGTAGTGTTTGGATAAAAAAGAAAAATTAGAAACGAGTGGATCACCGCGACCGTATGTGCGGTTCGTACTTCAGAAGAAGGACGTTATATCATACGCATACCAGGAAACAAACGTCATGTGGTCGTATCGAAAAGGTTTAACATAGTAGAGGGCGCATGACTGCTGCACAGCATTGGGAAGCTGTGTGATTCGCGCTGTCGCCGTTGTAGCATCATGGCAGACCTCGATTTTTGTTCATGCACATCTTCAAAGTTCAAAGAAACACTCCGGAAGGGCCCTCAATACCCTACACTGCTGTAAACTATGGATGGATGGATCATAGTCTACTTTGTACAGCAGTAGTCTGTATGTTCTAGTGTGTCGGGTAGTCGGCACAGTCATTGGCACGTCAAATCCATAAATGGTCCGTACACAACAAGCAGTCTACATACACAGCGGGAACGTAAGAAGTCGCAGGTGGAGATACTATCATTGTTAGCTTCGGCACAACACTGCTGGTAGGCACATTGTAGGGTGTCCACAACACAGAGGAGAGAGAGAGCGTCCGGAGGTTTGCACCCGAAAATGGGCACTGCCGCCGCCGTGTTACACAGCGATGATGAAGTCAGAGACGACAGGCGCGAGAGGTTCGAGCGGCAACATCGCACTTGATAATGTTGCCCGAAGCTCTACCCTAGGGCAGAACCGTCCTCGGAAAGGCAAGGCGCAACGGCTGACGAACCAAAGCACTGCATGCTCTCTCACCAATCGCAGATCTTTGCTGAAGGGGGGCTCGTTGAGCTTGTCCACGATGAACTGGATCTCCGCCATGGTAGCTGGATGGCGCACACAGCAATTACAAATACAGGTGCTGGATGTTGGATCCACCAAGCGTAGCTCCGCTACAGATGAACTTGGATCGTACGGATCTTACCCGCTCCCCCCTAAAGTGCCCCCTCTTCTCCCGGCAGGCCTGCGTGTCGGATGTGGTTGACTGATGATGGACCTCGCCGCGCGCGAGAGAATGCGGCGGAACTTCCGATTGCATAATCCCGCCGCGTTTCGGTTTCAGTTTCGCGAATTACCGTCTCACCCTCTCGTCGTCTCAAACGTCTCTCTTGTTCGGTGGCCGGCTGTGTTTGCTCGCTGGTCTTGTTCCTTTGTTCGACGTATGACACTGCTATGGTCTATCAAATGTACATCAAGTCGCTTACTACATGTAGATCAAGTTGTTTCGTTCGCGAACGGATGAGATCCGGTGAACACGGTAAGAAAGAGAGTAAATGTCTCGTGAGAGTCCGAAGGGTTCGGGACGATCTGCGATACAGTGCTAACGCTCTCACTTGTCGCTCCCTCTAACCGACCAAATCAGCCCTCGGTGTCCCAACAAGTTGTCACATTGGTGTTTCGATTCCATGAATGAATGCGCCCACATCTCAACACGGTGGCCCCGTGAGAAGGGATCGCTGAGAAAGAAAGGTGTTTTCCTTCGCTTCAACCTCCATCCAGCAAGCTGCAAAATTAGAAAAAGCCGAGATGTAAAAAATAAAAAAAAAGCCGAGATGTTTGGTCTGCACACTTGCATGACAGATCTTGTTGGAGTACGGCCAGCGGTGGGACTTTCGATATGAGACTGGTAGATCGAGTCCTCAGGATTCGCCAGGGTGCATGTATCTCCGTGTGGTGTGTAACGATCGATCGATGTCCAAGCTACACACAGACAGAAGAAGACGTCAGACTTCGCGCTTTTTCTGCAACAAACGACGTGTGTTACACACTCACGTCGACCCCACCCCACTCCCGACAAGTTTCCACATGCACACATCATACGTGTATCTGCGCCTGCCTGTGCCCTTTTTATTACAAAACTCTCTTGGATGGGCGCTTCCCAATTTACAAACCCCGCATGCAGATGGTACCTGACACACATGTAACGTGCGGTGACGTTTCGCCGCACATTCTGACCTCTTGCATGTAACCGGCGAACCTTCGCCCAATCCCGATTGGCGCAGCACGTTCCACATCCCTACGGTACCTTCCTTGCATCGGGCATTCGTTCAAACTCTAGATATGTACATCCTTTTTTGCCCTGGCTCTCGCGAAATAACACCGAGAAGAAGCCCTTCGGCCATAAACGCCTCTTCGAAAGAAAACCACAGGTAACATGCGCGAAGCCACGGTCACTGTCGCACTAGACTAGACTGTCCATTTACACCACAAAACAGGGACAACAACACTACTAGCACGAACACCACACAAGACAACTCGGCAGCAGACACCCCACCTCGAAAACATACCCTACGGCACACACAGAGTTTACTCACACGACAAAACACATCAGCCAAGGCTGCTGCAGCATCCCCCCCCCGCCCCTCGCGCCCCATCATTACGTTGACGTACAAGGTTCCACAGGAGCAACGTCGAAGCCACCCAAGCTGGCAATCCCTCACCGTACTGAAGGTTTTAAGCAAACGTAAGCTTGAGATCAGACCAAGTGACCCTTGAGAAACACGCGGTGTTCATTCACGGTATCATCAGAGGGCCCGCACAGCAATTGCATCGGGGGTCTCCATGCTACTACACTTGTTGCCGTTCCCCGTTTCCTGCGAAAACGTTCCCCGACTTGTGGCTACTCAGAGACGCACATGTTGGCCTTGGGGATTTTTTTTCTGGCTATTGCACCCTTACTTTTATACACAAATCTTCTACGTTTGCATCGGTGGCACGGACGGAGGTAATCTTCAATCGTCCACCTGGCCCATCGCCGCTGCCGTTCCCCCTGCCCCCCTGGGTCGCATCAGAGGTACACAGGCGAGTGCTCGTTCCCAGTACCGACACCGTTGGTGCCCTCCGCGCTAGAAACAGCAGTGGCATTGCTGCCGCTCCCACCCGCCACAACCTCTCTCTCGCCCCCGCCCACAGCAAATCTCGTGTCAGCAACGCTGCGGCGAAGGGCCTCCTGCAGGTCGGGGTCTGCACTACCATCGTCGTTGGCTGCGCCTGCCCAGCCCCCCCGCCCCCGCCGCGGCTATCGAGGCCCCGCCCGCATCGAAAACGCCCCTGCTAAGGCGGATCGCTTGCTGCACCTGGTCCTCCTTGCGAAAAAACATTTCCGCCTGCTGCTGTATCATAATCATCTGTTGCTGCTGCTGCATCTGCTGCTCCGCGTTTTCGTAGTAGGAGCCCGCCTGAGGAAGAGCGGGGGTGATACGTACGTGTGAAATCCTTAGAGCGTCGCCCCAGATTCGAAAAAAAAACGACAAGAAGGGGGACTCACCGAGGGCGAGATGCGAAAAGGGGACGAGTAGCAACCCGCGACACCGGTTTCCTGGGAATGATTCTTCGAAATGGGGAATATCTTTACACACGCACCGTGTATGCCCTGAAGGGTTGCTTGGTACATTAGAAACATGCGTCTTTGGGCTCACAAACTGCCACCATCGTCTCTCGCGACATTTCTTCTTGGTTTTTGTGGAGGGTCTTGCAATGCTATAGTGGGACACCGCTAGGCGGATTTGATCCTGTTTGACCTGAGCGAAACCTGACAAGGTGCCAATAAGTCTACCCGTTCTGCTGTCGGAAGCCGTCACCCCAACCCCACGTCTCCCTTTCATTTACGCCATCATCTCCTGTCCCCGACTTCCAATACAAGGGAGTCGAACTGTGTGAGCGCTGATTTGATCAAAACAAAGAAAAAAACTGCACCTCAAAGACCACAAGCTTGCCTCCGCCATTGGAATCGCCTGATGCTGTAGAAGCGCCTCCTGCTGGTTGTGGGATGCCAGTCCCACTCCCTTCCTGTCCTTCGGCTCTATCCAATCCATCCCAAGGGCGGTGAACACGTCTTCCTCTCGAAAGCAGCTGGATGGAAAATGGCGTTTGACAAGGAAGGGGAAGAAGAGGAGGAGGGCCGGGGTGGGTTGGGCGGTTACTCTTTCCGCATGTTTGGCTTGCCCGCGGGAGGCGACTTAAGGAGGAGGTTGACTCCTTTTTGGTGGGGGTCGATATCGTGTAGCAACATCTTCGGCGGTGAAACAAATTTCTGCCTCTCTGCGGAAGCTAGCTCCCTATCAGCAGCGGCAGCTGTGAGGCGGGGTAAATGTCGTTCTCTCATCTAAACTTATTAGTCTCGCCTCGCAACAGGAGTAAATTTTCTTTGGGGGGGGTCGTGGCTGACACAACGGGAAGAGGACACAGCAGTGACACGTAAGTGCATGCGCTGGCTACATAACTGTACACACGACGTCTTCTTTAACCTTGGCAGAAGTGCACCCTTGCATCGATTGTGGTCACGTGCATCTCTGAGGGCCGATAGAACGAGGTGCTGCCGGCTCGTGTACCGGCCTTACCCCTGCTGCTATGCATACCCTGTGAGACAGCTACGGCTGTTGCGTTGGCAGACACTAAGGCCGAACCTGTAGCCCGAGTTGGGTACTTCCTCGCCGCTGAACGGGTCGACCTTGAACAGCCCCTTGTCGTTCAGCTTGAGCCCCTTGCTCTTGCCGAAGCAGCGCATGTTCATGTTGAAGTCGCCCGACCCCGCAAAGTACAGCACCGCGAACGCGAACATTGAACTGCCGCGGGGGAGACGATGAACGCCAAATTTTAACAGAACGCAAGGGGGTTTCATTAAGTTGTAGCTGCTGTTCATGCGGGTAAGCACGTGATTATTCGGCATCTCGCTTGAAATAGCTATTCCAAACATCGTCAGCAAGCACAGTACAGGCGCCACATTCAACCAGAATTTCTCATCCATCTCAGAAATTGGACATGGTGATTGCTAGACCGAGTGGCTTATCCTGCTCTAGACCTTGGTGCTTGAGTCATAATACTTGTTTTATGAACTCCTCTACAGCAGTATGTCTCTCCCTTAAGGGCGTGAGGGGGGGAGGGTTGTACGTCACCATTGATGTATACAACGGCGCCACCGCCACCACCGTCACGACCACATCAAAAGGCGCCGCCATAACATCCACCGTCGTCGCAACCCACCACCAACCAAACCCCTCAACACGCACGCGGGGTAGAGCTTGATGTCCAGCCGGCGGTGGAGCCGGCCCTCGCCGGGCAGCTTGCAGACGCCCATGAAGGTCTGCGGCTTTCCGGGCGTGTAGGGTCCCTCTGGCACGGCAAGCCTGTCCGTGATGAGCCTGGTCTCCGTCAGCTCCTTGACCAGCTCGAGGAACATTGAAGAGTCCTGGGCGGCGGGGAGTTGGAAGACAAGAGAGGCGTTTTGTTGTTGTCTCACGTGGAGGAGGGGGGGTGTACTCATGACCGCGCATGCCCTATATGTAGGCGCTAGACCATGACCTCACATCTCCAGAAAGCCGGGACGGAGCACGCCGGGTTCTCATCGGACCAGGCTCTCACATCACCAAGGTGTGTACACGTGGACGGGGGGAGGGGAAGAGAACAACAGAATAGGAAGGCCAGAGAGCGAACGGGAAGCGCGAGAAAAAGAAACCGCCCGTGCGGTGAGGCTGCAGTCACTCCGAGGGTCCCCCCGCCCGACCCCTGCAATACAGCTTGGGGAGTTGCGAATGTCTGTTGCTCAACCCCCGTCAGGGGAAGGGAGGGCCAGAAAAGCGCGGTGGATCTCTTCCGGTCGATCTGCCATTCCGCGTCGTAAGACTAGACGGGCCCCTCGGTAGGTAGGAGATACCTCCTATTAACACGGTGAGGAACAACCCGCACACCCACCACTGATTTGTGCAACGGCCGCCTTCCAAATCGCAATTTGCTACCTGCCGGGACCGTTCCAGCGACGCTGAACATTACCTGCGGACACTCAGCGACATTTCCAATTCTACCCCTTGCTGCTAAGACTTTTACCCTCCACTTCGATTGTGACACAATCTCGAACGGATATCCTTCTGTGTTTGTATGACTATTTTCTAAAATGGGAACTCCGTCTGCAAGGTCTTCTTGATCCGCACCTCTTGTCCCTCGGGAGGTCGAATGAGCACGTCCACGTCACCGCAGTTTCTCTTGACCCTCCTGTAGCTCCCGCAGGCCTGCACGGTGGCAAGCGGTAAAGAGGAGTGCCGAGGAAAAAAAACGGGCGGGAAAACACGCACCAAACACAAATAAAGACCAACTTGTAAAGTCAAAAATTGCGCGACACGACCACACTATCCACCCCTCCGACAAACCCCTATCAGGCATTCACAAGATCAACTTGAAGATGTCTCTGGTGAGCCTGTCGACCACCTAGGGCAATCACGACTACAGAGGGACTATGTCATGGCATGCACAAACGAGGATAGTGGGTGCCAGGTACGCTTGAAGATGGTATTTAGGTCATTTACACCTTGTACAAGCAGCTCGCCGATATTTGCTGGATCTTCGTCCAACACACAAGAAAAAAAAAGGTGAGATGGGAAGCATACTCAATCCGCTACACTTTGTGATCACGGAGGGAACTTTGTACAATGTACGTAGAAGCCGCGGAAAAACCACCACGCAGAGCAGTTCCAGGGCCTATGCATAGGTGAGCCACACCAGACAGAGCGAGGTCTAGACGTGTAATAAGAGGTCTTGTTTGATTTGCCTTCCTTGTTTCTCAAAATCGAAACCTCCGTCCGTCTGCGAGGTGAGGTAAGAAAACTTGCCTGGCAGATGACTCCCGGGCAGATGCTCTGGGCAACCTTCGTTACCGCCGCTTCGATCTCAGCGGCCTCGGACCGCGGCATGCGCGGCTTGATGTCCTCGTGCCTGGGGCGGGCAAGGGTACGCAACATTAAGGGAAAGGATGGGACACGAGGGAAGTTTTAGGCTAAGAAAGACAAGTGGGTCAACCAGGAGTGCCCCAAGTACCGTTGACAAAAGGCGCAACTTTACATCGGACGAGAGCCCGGAGGATAAAAAACAGGTTGTCGACGCAGGCGGGACGACGCGCAAGATGACGCACACGCGCGGGAGATATCCTTGGCTTTGCACACCGCTGCCCGAAAGGCTGTCGGGGTCCACCCAAAGATGCATCACATCACATCGAAGCCTTAGTCGCCCTACTACTACCTGTTGAGGCAAAAGCGCACCTGCTCGGTGAGGAGGTGCCTGCCCCTGGTCCTGAGGTTCTCGATCGAGCGCATGCCCTTGTCGTACAGCTGCTGGGTCTTGACGGCGCCCACCCAGCCGACCTCCTGGAAGAGCTTGAGGCAGGCCTCGACCGTGGGGGGGTCCACCTCCGAGACGGGAGAGCGCCTTGCTCTCGCCCTCGGCAAAAAAGGCCGTGAGCCCCTTCATCGCACTATGCCCGATGCATCTGAATCGCTCGGGGAAGTTCTTCCTCAGGTCCTGCGATGGGGGGAACAGCCCGCGAGCGCGCTGTCTGAGCTACGTAGTACACATACATGGCGCAACCCAGCGGTAAAGAAATAACCTCGATCTCGGCCAGTACTATCATACGCTGTCCGTAAAACAGGCCGAGGACACACCACAACCACAAGGACGACCGCAACCCCTCGCCGTTATTCTCTCCGTCGTAGCAGTACACCGAGCACGAGCAGGCGGTATCAGCGAGTTGGGGTGGAAGGAACGAGAGTATGCCCTCGGAAGCAGCACCGGAGAAACCATCAATGTTTCTTTTCCTTCAAGCTCATCACGAACACCCCTCGGCTTCACGGCATGGCGAGGCGAGGCGCTCCTTCTGCTTACCTCTCGCTTGTCTCCTTCCCTTTTCAAGAACGTGACAAACAAAATTTCTCACAAAGGCACCACACGGTAGCGGTGGTTGCACCGCATACACGCATGGCAAAACGAAGCATCTCGTACCGATCACCATCCCCTTATCGGCGAACCAACACGCCCTGGAATGACGCCAACAACAAAAACAACAACAACAACAACAACAACATCGTCTTGGGCCCATGTCACACCTTGAGCTGCTCTATGTCGGTGATCTGCGTCCCAAGCATCCTGAGCGTCGCTGCGGCGCTCTTGAAACCCCTCTCGTTAAAGACGCTCCCGTCTCCCCGCGCGTCGCGCAAAGCTCGGCCAGGCCGTCCAACATATCGGCGGCTTCCTTGTTCGGTGACTGTCCCCCCCCAAAAGGCATCGTTTCTAGCTTAGGAGAAGGACGACCGTGCGTTTAGAGCTTGGTACGTCTACATCGAAAACTCGCATCACTCCATCATCTACACCCATTGCAAGGAGAACGCCAGTAGACACCGACACGCCCATCATTTCCACCCTCTCACGGGGGGGGGGAAACCGTACGCAAATCGAAACAGCGTTTGTACTCTTGCGCCAAATGTTCAGTTTCTTGCTCACCTGGGGCCGCCAAAAAATGCTCGGTTGCCCTTGAGACACTCGTCTCTTGTCCACGTCGAGCTTCCTGGGGCCAACCTCCCCCTCCAAACTCATCAATCCCGCCGCGGCGCTTCAGCCCGACGCGCTTCCCCCCGCCGCGTCCGCCCGCTGGTTTCTCGTCGCCACGAGACCACCGGTGGTCTCCTCGCCCCCCGATGTCAACACCCTCTTCTTGCCTGTTGCAGCAGGCGAAGCGGAAGAAGATCATCCCTCAGCCGCAGCGTTTGTTTCCTTGGTAGCTGTGCTCGACCTCTGCTGCTGCGTCGGTGCGACTGCTGCAGGTGCCACACAGCGGTGCGGGGGCGGGGTCAACCGGTACGCGTCAGCGGCCACCACTTCGGAGCGCCTCAAGCACTCGCTCATCCACTCGCTGCTCACGACAGGCACCCCGTCAGGCATCCTGCCCCTGCCTGCCGTCGCCGCGCCATCAACAACGTCCTCGAAGTCGTCCCACCCGCTGAAGTAGAGGTCGAACTTCTCCCAGGAAGCGGCAAGCGAGGCATCGGCCACGATATGGGTCGTGTCTCCGGGCGTGTAGTGAGTCGATACCTGCCCTCCGCCGTCGCGAAACTCCCGCGGGAGTGTCCCTACGGTGTTGTTCGTCACCGAGCCCAGGCGAACCACGCACAGAGACAACCCAGAGAACGGCCCGGACGCCGCGCCCGCTCTTTTCCACGGTCTCTTCTTGGTTTTGATGCCCCCGTTGTCGCCACCGGCCCCGCCGCGCGGCCGGGTCTTTCGTTTCGGATTCGGCGCTGCCACCGCGTTGGAACGCGATCCTTTCGGTCCCGAACACAGGAGGTCTTCAAGGTCACGAATGTCCATTCTTGCACCCCCTCCGCCAGCGCGCACGGTAGCTGGAGGTAGTCGTCCTACCGTCGCCACCGCCGCTGCTGCTGTTGCTGCTTGGTTGTCGCCATCACGACGGCCCCCGCCGTTGCCGGTAGCGCTAGCAGCAGCGGCTGAATCATCGTCATCCCCTCCTGCCGGACAGGCGCCGCTATCGATTCTCAAGCCCGAAGCCTTGCCAGGGTTGACGGATGCTTGTTCGCCACTCGCAGCGGTGCCAAGAGGCTCTCCTCGTCTGTCATAGGGTCATGACGGTCCCGCCGCCGCTGCTACCAGCGGAGGAGGGATGCGCCATGAGGGCTGCTCCGCCGCAGTCCCCCGAGCGCGACATGGGAATAAGGACTGCTGTGGCATCGCCTCGACAAAATAACCCGCTGCTGGTCGCCGTTGTCGGGGACGCTGTTGTCGGCGACGCTATCGCCGCTGGTGCCGTCGCTGGTGCCGCCGCCGCCGCCGCCGCCGCTGCTCTCGTCGTGTTCTCCGCGTTGACTCTGTCGGTCTCGCGTATTGTCCCCTCCGTCTCCGCGACGAGCTCTGCCATCACCGCCATCTGAAGACTGCTGCAAATAGAGGCAATCTCACGAAACTGCTGGGGAAACGTGCTGTCCTTACCTCCGCGTTGGAGGTTCGGAGGATGCATCTCACATGAACCTTGTCTGCACTGTCCGCTGCAGGCCCATTTCCAGATTTCCAGCAGGATCGATCTACGGAGCCCCTGGGTACGTACGAGCCGTTGGGAAGGGGTGATACATCGGAGCCCCCGGACATCATCTTGGATCTTTGCTTCAATTGTTGTTGTTGTTGTTGACTTCACATTAAACCGTATGCCAGTTGCTAAATGCCAAAATCTAGCAAAGACTCTCGNTGCTGTCTGAAGTGCTGTCTGTACAAAAACACCATGGTAGGCATGGAACAAGAAGCTGGCGAGGCACAAAGCTGCTGTCTGAAGTGCTGTCAGAGTGTGTCTGCGGACGTACAGTGAAAAAGAACAACCAACCAAAGCCATGATTGCAATGGACAATCACCCGAACCTCTCCCGATCGTCTGTGTTGGGCACGCAGTGAAGATATGACAATAGCTAAGAATCGTTCCACATTGAAGGGGTCTTCCACGATCAGGCACA